CCAAGTGATAAACTCCACTGGAATTAGGGCAGAGAGACAATAAGTGACCGTCGCCCAAGAAAAAAAATGAGGGTACTGATTAGGAAACAGGTGTCCAGGGGAAAAAGTCCTTATCAGTAACCAGTTCAGAAAAGACTGAAGAAGTGGATAAGAAGTAGGTAAAATGGTTCAGCCAAGCGCTCACCTTGGTAAAGAATTCCTCCACTACTATCAGAAAAGGGTCATGGTCGTACAAGGTGAGCAGACTGAAGGTTAGAGTAGTTATTTCACAGGAAAGTACAGAAAACAGCAAAATCCAGGGTACAAACCAGTACTTTGAAATGGGCTAATGGGGTTCTAAATAGAAACTTTCCCTTAGGATAATGGAAAAGAATGTATGGAAACAAAATTATTTTAAAAAGCAGTGCAAACACAGAAAATAATTTGGAGGTTAAGATCTGCCTTATATCTTCAGTTACTTCAAAGTATTTGGTTGGCAGTGTTTATGTATTAGGTGGAAGGAGGCAGACCCATGATAGGGTGTGGAAGGATTAGAATCAAGAGGCTCTTGCCTTATTCCTTTCAATGGTATTCTTTTTAATGGGCTGAGTTTACTGGAAATGTTTCCTTCATTCATATTTGACTTCAAGACTCAACCTATGCACTTTTCCCACAGTTGATTCATAGCTGAAAAAGTTGCTAATAGTTATTTCATTACTTTTATCTATGATTATTTTTCTTTTATCTGGGTTATCTCCCAAACATCAAGTTGCCTGATACATAAAAACAATTCCATTCTATCTTACCCACAAAAAATGTTCTGAAGAAGTGATGAAGTGTTCTACCTGACAGAACATAATTTATCCTATATTATTGTAATCTAATTCAAGCCATTTCATGTTGTACTGGCTATGATTACACAAAACGTAACAGTCTACTTGACTTAACTCCTCCTATGAAAGAAATTGAAGACACTTTCCTTGAGGTCAGCAATTCCTCTTGCGTCTCATTCCTAAATCAAAGTCTGAGGAAAGTTCAGAAGAGCAGTCACGAGGGAAGGGGGCAAAGCAAGTTCAAAGCTCAAAGAGTGACTGAGAAAACATTCTGGTTTCTAGAGACTTCAGATTCCAGACATAAATGAACAGTTTTTCAAAAGGGAGGGAGAAAAGAGAGAGCAAGGGGGGCAAACCGAGAAACAGACTCTTAAGTCTAGAGAATGAACTCATGGACACCAGAGGGGAGGTCCCGGTGCGGGCGGGGGACGGGGGGAGGGGGGGGGGGGAAACAGGTGATGGGGATTAAGGAGAACACTTGTTATGATGAGCACCGGCTGTTGTGTGGAACTGTTGAATTACTATATGGTACACCTGAAACTAACATTACACTGTGTAACTGGAATTTAAATAAAACTTAAAAGATAAAGTTGAAGTTTTCACCATCAAACAGACAAACAAAATGAATAGCTTTTCAGACTCTGTTCTGTGGTGCAGGTCTCTGCCCTTGCATGTGAGAAGAGGCACAGGCCTGGCAAATGTTCTCCCCCGAATATACCCCCTTGACTCCTCACACTAATTCAGGAATCCACGAAAGGGTGGCCGCTTTCTAAATGTGAGTATCTTGTCAGTGAGTTTAAACCTGCCGGTTATTTCTACTTCAGTGTGAATGAATCAGTTAGAAATGTCAGCTTTCTTTCTTCCTAGCAAGTGGTTGATCCATGAGCTCAGAGAGGATGTGATACCAGGTAGAAAAGTAGCCTTTTCTCGGTGACACACCAAGGGGCCAGACTTGGCTGAGGTGGGGCTGAGATCCTGGAAAGGAACCATCCCTTCCGTGGGGGCAGGGAGGTGACAGAGAAGTGGGAGAAGGGTGCAGAGAGCAGGTGGGGGTAAATTCTATAATTTGCAACGCTGCCTTCAGGGCCCGGTTGGCACACGTCATAAAGCATGTGCAACTTAATGTGGGTGGGACTGTATCATTTTTCTGTCAGCATAGGCCCACGATCTGTTGGTTTTTAAAAGTGATCTTAGACCTAGGAGAGAACAAAACTGAATTGTCAGAAGCTAAAATGGCATTGAGCTTGTTAGTGCCCAATGGCCTCAGTGGCCTGCCCAGCTTGTGAAGTGTTCCCAAACTCTCTGCCATGAGTCCCTAACTTCACACGGGACAAGGAACTCTGCACATCAGGCTTCGTCCTACTGGCAACAAGACTGGGCAAAACTGTAAAATACTGTGCCACTGCCCTTAATGCTTCTATATTCCTAATACTTTCTTCCCTTCCCACTTGGGCAACCTTACCAAGCTTTTGGCTTAGTACTTGTGTCTTGACTCAGATTTCAGTGGTTAGTATCACCCTAGAGCAGGTCGTGCCTTGCTGCCACGATGTGCACCCAGGGCTGGCTGTTTTTTCTGTTAGCAGCCTTTAGATTGGCTTTCCCCAAAGTATGGTGCTCGCCCTGGCCACCTTGGCAGAGACACACAAACCTAGATGAGGTTAATTATCTAGATCCTGTCCTGGAAAATAGCTCGTTCATTCAATCATTCATTTTGAAAACATTAACTGAATGCCAGCCTTGTGCCAAGCACCATGCAAGGCCTGAGGGATGAGAAGATACACAGGCAATGGTCCTGCTTTGGAAGCCATCAGTCTTTTAGGAAGCAAAGATGGTAGTGACAATTGATCCCTATCTGCATTTGACAATGCAGTCTGGTAATTCCGGAGGAGGGAGGAGGGAGCTGATATCTTTACTAATGCTCCAGCACAGATGCTTGGTGGGTGGGGGCGAGGGGTGTAAGTGCAGTGACTGAGGCAAGGAAGTTAGTAAGTAGAAAAGGGGGAAGTCTAACATAGTCCAACGCTGTTGTAAACTCTACTTCCTTGGTGCTCAAGATACTGAGTAGAAATGGTAAGAGGCAGGCATCTGTTCTGTTGGGGTATAGGGACTTGAATAGCAGCTTTTTTTTTTTTTTAAATAATACAGTGATGAAAAAATGGGAAAATAAAGGTTTTGGAATGCCCCTGACTCTGGCTTGCATAATTCTGGAAAAAAAAAAAAACTTTCTTAAACAGTGTTCTGGCACATTTCCTTAATAACACAACCTTGTTTATGAAGACTATTTGAGGTATGGCTTTACACCCTTGAGCAAATGAATGTAATTTATTTGCAAGTCTACTAAAATTATTTGGTATGATGCCATTGGCCAAATAAATACCTTAATATTACAGCACCTCTTTGGTAGGAAAATTTACTTCAAACACAGGACTTTTCCAGAGACATAAATGAAAGGTGTCACACTCAGGCTCAGTGTAGCCTCGTAGAGACGGAACCCTGCAGAGGACACAGCTTCCTCAGTTCTTCCCTCTCTGGACACTGGGGAGCACCTCACCCAGACCCCACTGACAATGAAACAGACACTGTGCTCAGCACATGTCTAACATGGGGCACACTGAGAATCTGGAGTTCCTTGAAATGAGTATTGTCTTTGTCCAGTGCTCTCCTAGGGGAGGAGGCTAAGTGCTGCTTGGGGAAGAATGGGCACAGGTTGAACCCCATCCCCTCCCTGCCCCCACCGGGAGACCAAACCTGCCTCTCCAGAGGCAGATTAGTGACCTGCTGGTACTGGAGCATGTCCCTCATTGAGATTCCTCGGCACTGGCCTATCAAAGTATTCCTTCCAAACACATGAGAACTATCCTAAAAGGCTTCTGATAATCACACTAAACAAACATTTTGCCTGCTTTCCAGTGATGTGTTATTTCTCACTAATGGTTTAGTGTCCCAAAGGGATGGCACCATAAGCTACTTAATCCAATACTGGTATGAAAAGTAATTTTCTGCTTGGAGACAGAGCTGAAAATACACCCTCTGCTTTCTCAGTGCCCTGGGGAGCTTCGAGTTACACCAGTACGTAACCTCCCATCTCTGGTAAAGAGCTCCACAGAAGTAGCCCTGGGCATTATTTTTTAACCATGTCTTTCCCAAGATCATCCAAGCATTGACCTTAAACAGTGGATTTTTACATTGCAACTTTTTCACTATTTCCAAACATTTTTCAATATTTTGTTATTTCAAAAACATGAAGCCTTGTATATAGCAGAATCTCCAAACACATTTGCAGATCATTAATAAAACCAACTTACATTTTCAAAAGAAACATCCAAGAATTAGGTGTGCTACTGCTTTAAAGATATACATCAATGTTTCCACGAATGTGGAAAATGATAATTACAGTATTAGAAAGTACACTATAACATTTGTGAAGGGCATGTGCAGGGGACATGTCCTTCACAGTAAAAATCTCAGAAATATGAATGCAAGGTACAGTTGGGTTGGCTAAATGAGTCTGAAGAATAGGCATAGAGGCCAGAGTCAGTCACGCCCTGACCTCTTGTGTGCACTGCTGTTGGGAAACATGATTTACCCTATGACAGAGTGTTGACAAGATGATTATTGTTGCTACTCCAGTCTTTTTTTTTTTTTTAATTTTTTTTTTCAACATTTATTTATTTTTGGGACAGAGAGAGACAGAGCATGAATGGGGGAGGGGCAGAGAGAGAGAGGGAGACACAGAATCGGAAACAGGCTCCAGGCTCCGAGCCATCAGCCCAGAGCCTGACGCGGGGCTCGAACTCACGGACCGCGAGATCGTGACCTGGCTGAAGTCGGACGCTTAACTGACTGCGCCACCCAGGCGCCCCACTCCAGTCTTTATCCACAAAACACACACAAGAGTCCATTGACAAATGGACAAATACATTTCTCAGAGAAATCCTAATCAATATTCCTCAGCATTTAGAGAACACTGAAGCAGAACAAGTGGCTTCAAATACAACAGAAAATGTTTCATTTAATAAAAGCATCTGGGGGCGCCTGGGTGGCTCAGTCGATTAAGCAGCCGACTTCGGCTCAGGTCATGATCTTGCGGTCCGTGAGTTCAAGCCCCACGTCGGGCTCTGTGCTGACAGCTCAGAGCCCGGAGCCTGTTTCGGATTCTGTGTCTCCCTCTCTCTGACCCTCCCCCGTTCATGCTCTGTCTCTCTCTGTCTCAAAAATAAATAAACGTTAAAAAAAAATTAAAAATAAATTAAAAATAAAAAAATAAAAGCATCTGAAGAAATATAGGAGCCTTGCCTTCTTGGCTTAGAATATCTTCAAGACGAAAATGCACATCTTCCTGCCATGGTTTGGAGAAGGGGAGAGTCGGCCTGAGGAGGAAAAGAGGCCAGAGGAGTTAATCTCTTGGGTTCCTCTGGTATTAAAGTGCCCTTAATCCTTTTTTAATTGGGTTTTTATTAATGTAGATTTCAGTGGTAACAAACACCTTCCCAAGTTGTGAAGAAGCTACTCACAGAGTAAAGCATCTTCATCAGCAAAACACCAACTCTGGTTCCTTGAATGCAGAGGCGAGGCATCACTAGGTGTCCAACAGGTGGCCTGTGAATACAAACGAAGTGCTTAAGACAGGGTCTTTTCAAAGGTCTTGAAATCCAGACGTAGTTTACAAACTGTAGCATCTTCGTAAGTGCGGGGGGCTGGGGGGGGGGGTGGAGGATCAGTCTCAAAGATGACTCTGAAGCCACTGCCTCAGGGAATTTTGTTGACAGTGCTCTAAGTGTTGGATTTCCTTCCGCCAACATCATTACCTCCTAAATCTATATCTTCTTTGCTGAGGTCGGAAGGATCTCCCACAACCGTGAGTGTGACTTTTCCCAGGAAACTCACCCCAGGGCCACCAGACACACGAAGAGCTCCTTCCTCTCTGCTCACAGAGCACTTCTGTGCCCTGCAGGTGTCATGGCATTTAAATGCCTTGTGGTGGGATGTCTGTGTGCTGGGCTCCAGAAGGAGTCCCTAAGCTCCCCGGCAGGCCTACCCTCTTAACTTCTCACTGTGTCCCGGAATTCCGCATCATTTCTGTAATTGAGGCCAGATAATACTTATAAAACTGAATTAATCCAACACCTCTCCTCTGCCCTCACTTCTTCCCTACACAATGTGTGATTTGACTTGTCACATTCAGGACAAATTCTAGAATTTCCTGTCTCTTCCAGTTCCTTACCACAGGAACCTTTTCTCAGGCTCCCTAATCTACCATTTAGGGTGATTCAAGAAAATACAGGAATGGTGCTGGATTAAAATGGCCAATGATCCCATTTTAACACAAAGGCCAGCATTGTGTTTACAGTCTGCTCCTCTCTCTTGATTATTTTGGCAACAGACTGCACAAATAAAGGATTTTGGAGTGTGGGATGATGTAATAATGTTTTAACATAAAACCAGAGAGTAACACTGTAATGCATTCATGTTAACGGGATGTAAGTCAGAAGATAGTGACTGCCAGCGTTTGATACTTTATTAGTATGTAGAACCTAATTAAACTGATCGTACTATAAGCATGGCTTCTTATTTCTATGGACTTCACTCTGCCAGACGGTGTCAAATGTGAAGTCTGATCTAAACTGGGGGCTTGCAATGACATTTACTTTCCCGACCTGCACAGCCAAATTAAAGTTTATATAGTTCTCCCGTAAAGCCAAAAGAAATATAAGTTTGAGTCAAAATTGCTTTTACGACTCTCATACGAGGAGCCCAGGCAGGGTTCATAGAGTTGAGGCATGTCCCGAGGGCGCTGCTCTTAAATATGGAAATGGAAAACCATTTCCTTATCCAGAGCCCAATGTCGGCCACAATGAGATTATACTGGGCATCAGAAAATGAAGACTGGGCACCGGCATCTTCAAATGAGAACACTCATCCGCAGGACTTTTGGGTCTTTTTTTTTTTTTTAGTGCTTGGATGTTTATTTCTATAAACATAATAGAGAAAGAGAGAGGGAGGCAATAAACTAAGACAAATTTAAGAATGTTAGTTAGGGAGGGGCTCCTGGGTGGCTCAGTTGGTTGAGCATCTGACTCGTGATTTCAGCTCAGGTCATGATCTCAGGGTGGTGAGATCGAATCCTTTATCGGGCTCTGGGCTGGGCATGCAGCCTGCTCAAGTTTCTCTCTCTCCCCCTCTCTCTCTTTCTCTCTATACCTCCATCCCCACTGCTCATGCACTCTCTAAAATAAAAAATTTTAAATATTTGCATTAAAAAAAAAGAATATCAATTAGGAAAAATACCACATAACTTGGGTCTCTGAAAATGAAGAAAGATTCAGGCATAATATTAAGGCCCTGAGCAACTTAGTCTCTAAAAAGAACTGGGAATCTTTGTCAGGAGTTATAACCACTGGGCCCCAGGCCAAGAGTCAACTTGGCACCAAAGTCAACTCGAAGAAGTGACTCACTTGGCCATGAGAGCACTGCTGTGTGAGACCTTTGGCCTCCTAAGTGAAAGTACCTGGGTTCTCTTATCACTTAATAAAAAGCACTGGAGGCCACCCAAGGGTGCTGCTTCAGATGAAAGCCATAGGAAGAGGTTTGAACCAAGGTCGAAAGGGCACAGACAATGCACTGAAGAGCAAAACAGGTAAGCACCAGAGAAAAGCAATGTCTGCCTTCTCACAGGTAAGATAGTAACCCATGGGATAGTGGATGTTCTTGTTTAAGGGTTTTAAAACATCAATTAAAAAAAAAATTAACTTCAATCACTCTCAAGGCTATCTTGTAACATTCGGGATATGGAATATACAGGTTATTGGACTCCATTTCAAGATTGTTTCAGAAAGTGTCTGGTCAGAAGATTTCTTGATTGACTAGTTTTGGAATAAATTTCATGTGAGGTATAGTTAAGGATTTATCAGGGATGGGATACTTTGAGACTAGATTGTCAGATGGCCACTCTCCTTGCTCCTTGATGGTAAGAGCTAGGGGAGGTCTACAATAAAATGGGTGGGAATACTCAGCATTCTCTCAAACCCTGGAACCCATCCCAATGCTAATTTTACCCTTTGCTCCTAGGTCTATTTCTCTTGGTCCTGCACAACAAGATTACCCACTCTTCCCTATGACTGCCTTTGGCATTACTGAGGATGCTTGTCAGCGTCTCTGAGTTCTCTCTTGTTCAGTGAAAATATCCTCAGTACCCTCAGTGTTTCCTCAAAGGACTTTAAATCCTTCAATTGTCTTCACTGCTTTTTCCCCTGAATGTGTTAGTTTATCAAGAAATATTAGGCTCAGGATTTAACACATTCATTCCTTGATAAACAGTGATGGAAAGCATCAAATAGCAGGGCTGAATTCTGCAGAGAAGAGCAGAACCTCTGTGTGCAGGTACCTCTACTGGTAGTCTGATGGGCTAGCACTTACAGAGCTGTATTAACAGCCATGTGATTGATCCTCATGCATTCTTATTAACCAAAAATAAACCTAATTCTTAACTGTCCCAAATTGGAAGGAACCAAGATGCCCTTCAGTAGGTAAATGGATAAACAAATGGTAGTACTTTCAATACAATGGAAATTTATTCAGTAATAATAATATAAAAAAGAGCTATCAAGCTACAAAAAAATATGGAGAAATCTTAAGTGCACATTATTATATAAAAGAAGCCAATTTGGGTGGTTACCAGAAGCAGGGGCTGGGGAATAGGCAAAAATGGGGGAATGTAGCCAAAAAGAACAGTAGTCCTGGGGATGTCATGTACAGCATGCTGACTATATAGTTAACAACACTGTGTTGTATACTTGAAAGTTGCTGAGAGATATTAAAGTTCTCATCACAAGAAAAAAAAAGTGTAACTATAAGTGATGATGGATGTTAACTAAACTTATTTTGGTGATCATTTCACATATATCAAATAACTGTATTGTACATATAAAACAAATACAAGGTTATATGTCAATTATGTCTCAATTAAGAGGAAAAGCCACCAATTTGAAAAGACTCCATACTATATGATTCTAACTACGTGCCATTTTGGAAAAAACTATAGAAACAGTAAAAAGATCAGTGGTTGCCAGGAGCTGGAGGGAAGGAGGAAGGTAGAATAGGTGAAGCACAGGGAGTTTCTAGGGCAGTGAAACTATTCTGTATGATACTATGATGGTGGGCACATGCATTGTGCGTTGTCAAAACCGAAAAAAACTGTGCAACACAGAGTGAACCTTAATGTAAAGTACAGATGTCAATTAATAATAATGTATTGGGGCACCTGGGTGGCTTTGTCGGTTAAGCAGCTGACTTTTGATCTCAACTTAGGTCATGATCTCATAGTTCATGGGTTTGAACCACCCATCGGGCTCTGTGCTCACAGCATGGAACCTGCTTGGGATCACCTGTCTCCCTCTCTCTCTTCCCCTCCTCCACTAGTACTATCTCTCTTTCTCTCTCTCAAAATAAACAAAGATTAAAAATAAAAAATAATAATGTATTAACACTGTGTTCATTGATTTTTAACAAATGTACCACACCAAAGCTGGATGTTAACAAACACAAAATAGGAACAACGACAACAGCAACCTTCAAACAAATCCTTTTTTTCATAATCCCTTCTATCATGTCATTTAACCCTATAATCTTGATTTTCCACTACTTTTTGCACCCAAAGGCAGGCTTTTTATTCAGTCCTTATTAAACTGCACTGCTTATTAGTCTGATAGCTGCTGACCTTGATTCTATCACCCAACATATGCCCGTTCTCTTGTAGGTACATGGATACGTGGTATCCAGAAATCTAGTGGCTAGGTACTTTATTCATGTAAATGCCACACATAAAAGTGGATGAAACAATTTATTCAATAGCAATGTGTTAAGTGGTATGTACCAGACATTGCTTTGGGTATCAGCCAATGAAATGGATGTTAGCCTCTGCTCAGTGGAGCTACTATATTCTAGTATAGGGAGAGAGACAATAAGCAATGATGTCATAAATGAGTTCTAAAATAGGTGAGAAGACGCTGAGTACCTGGGGAAAACCAAAACGGGGTGGGGGGGGGTTGGTCTTTAATTATTCAAATGCCCTGAATCTGAGGCTGGAAGGAATAGGGCAGATTTGAGGTAGTGTGAAAAGGCCGTCTGTGATGGACATGTGTGCAGAGCCAGGAACGTGAGAGATGGGGCTGCAGGGACGGTGAGGGGCCAGATCATGCTGGGATGTGTAGGCTGTGGAAGGATTTTTAACTTTATGCTATCTTTTCCCTCTCAAATAGAAAGCCATTCCATTATTTTAAAAAGCAGATAAAATGAGCTTTTAGAAGAGAACGGAGAGGAGGAAGGTAAGAGGAGAGATGGAGAGTCCAGATGGCCATGATGGCAGCAGCAGGGCCCCTGGGAGGAAGAGCTGAGGTCCAAGATCCTAACAATTGGGTGGATGGTGGAACATTCACTGAGAGAGCAGACCCTGGACCAGGAGGAGAAGTCCGGGGCACGTCTATAAAGTTTGAGGTGCCTATATGACACTCACAGGCTAGTGGGGTGGTAGGTAGGTAGATTCATGGGTTTGGACATCAGGCACGAGGAACTGGAACCAGCAGACATTCATTCAACAAGATCTGAATTTCCACGGCTACAGGCTGCACAGATCTGGGCTGGGATCCTGCTTCCACCACTGGTAACATTCTCTTGAGTTTGTTTAACTTCTCTGAGCTTTAGCTCCCTCTTCTGCAAGTTCAGGTCATTACTTCTGTGAAGGATTTCTGCCAAGCTTGAAAAAGAAAATGTAAGAACTCTAGCAGATTGGTTTCTTTTGGGGGGGTGGGGGGTGGGGGATAAGAATCCTCAAGTCTCTCTCTCTCTCTTTCTGTCTCTGCCCCATTCTTTCTCCCTCCCCCTCTCTCTTTTTCCTTCTGTAGTTTCCTGTTTCCTATGTTAACTAATTTTACTTTCAAAAAGCAAATTTGTTCTTACATGCCCTGTTCCCAAGGCCTGCAATCTCCTAGTTGGTGACTGACATGCCTCTGATAATTGGATCTAGAATTTTTAACACTGACTAAAAGAAAGTTGTAGATGTGAGAATGCATCATATTTTCTTTGTCAAAGCTTCACCTACATCTGCCAACTCCAATCTGCTATCACCCCTACACAAATCCCAAACACTCAACACCAATTTGTCGTGTCAATCAGCAGTCACTTGATTTCAACCTAGCTGCAGCAGGCAGCAGAGGAGGAGAAACTGAGGACAGACGGGTTCCTCTAGAGTTGAGTTGGCAGCACAGGCGTTAGTGGAAAGACAAGCGAGTGAGAAAAACGAAAAGTTGATGGTACTATTATAAAATGACCAATCATTTTGCGCAGCCAAGATGACTGAGAAACTAGGATAAGTACTCCCAATGATACAAAGATCAGTGCTACTTGGAATAAAAAAAGAGGGTAAAGAGAAAGAATGCGATTTGCATTTATTTCAGTGGTGGGATAATCACAGTGCTGGTCTTGCTTAGGGTGTGATGAAAAGAAGAAATTGCCTAAGTGGCATGGGAGTGAATATTTCACGACAAAATATAACGAGAAATAAGTACCTATGCCAGATATCAAAACATACTATAACATTTCATGTTTAACGCAAGGAAATATGGATGAGAAAAGGAAAACTTAGGAGTGGAAAAGTATAGAAAGCCTAGAAATTTAGCTGGGTTAGTGTGGGATTAAAACCATATTGGATAATGAGTGGGAAACAGCAAAAAACTCAATGATATTAGGTTAAAATTAGACAGTGTTTTGGAAGAAAAACCCTAAAATATAACCATGTTTAAATAATCTCTGGATACATCAAAGAACAAAATATTAGGGAAAACATAGATGAGTTACCAAAGAGGCAGAACTTGTTAGAGCTTGAAGTGATAATATATATGAAGCATTGAGAGAAAAAAGTAACAGATTCAATTAAATAAAAATGTAAAATTTTTTAAAGCAAAAGTAAGATTAAAATAGACATGCAATAGAAGATTTGGTAACATATACAAGTAGAATGCATATGTATAATAAAGCAAATGGTATAAATTGGCACCTAATGGAAAGTTAAGTGGCTGTGAGCACATTCATATAATTTAGACCAGTATTCTAGTGTCTAGAAATTTATCCTTAGGAAACTGTAGAAAGGAGAAAAATCTAGGTCCATGTAAGTATTAATTGCAAGACTATCCGCTACTGTAAAATAATGAAAACAAACCAAATATCCAACAATAGGGAGATGGTTAAGGAAATTGGGACATAGTAGCACAATGTCATACTTACTTATTAAAATGATAATTTGCAAGACAATGTAATACCATGAAAAATATTTGAGATAATATTGGAAGCCTATGGCTACAATTGTTTATATGATTGTGGACAAATACTAAAAAATCTTAGTGTCTGTCCATAAAAAGTTAAGGACCCTGAAAAGTTAACACAGTTCTTTTAGTGAGCTAAGATTACAGGTGATTTTCTTTTTTCTTTTCTTTTCTTTTTTCTTTTTCTTTTCTTTTCTTTTCTTTTCTTTTCTTTTCTTTTCTTTTCTTTTCTTTTCTTTCTTTTCTTTTCTTTTCTTTTCTTTTCTTTTCTTTTCTTTTCTTTTCTTTTCTTTTCTTTTCTTTTCTTTTCTTTTCTTTTCCCTTCCCTTCCCTTCCCTTCCCTTCCCTTCCCTTCCCTTCCCTTCCCTTCTCTTCTCTTCTTTTCTTTTGTAAATTTCATTTAAGAGTTAAAATATTGTATGGAAAATTCAAACAGAAGACAGGTACAAGAAAGAGTCCGTGAGCAAGGATCCAGGTGTTGCTGAAACTAGAATGGTAAGTCACCCAAGCGAAGGGCACAGACTGCAAAAGTTTTAGGTTGGGTCTGAGGCTCTAAGACCATTTCCTTATCACCTTAATTCCCTACCCAACACTAGAGTAAATTTGTGTTACTCACAGGAAGTATGTTTGCTTGGATGACTTACTTAATGACACCAGCTGTGCCTCCTCCCTTATCCATTGCCCCTCCTAGTAACACACCACCGACATTTTCTAGGCAATAATAATTCAGGACACTCAACTTGAAGCTTCTTCAATGCATAAAAACAGACATTTTAGAAGTTTTGACTTTTAAGAAAGCTTCCTGAATCTTCTCAAAGCAACAGGGACCCATAAGGACCGACTCTGTTGGTATGTCCCTTTCTGTGAAACCAGACAGAGCACGATTTCTGTGCATGTGTATGTTCTTCATTGTAATACAGTGCCTCTATCACACAATTTGTGAATCTTTTTTGATGATGAATGGCCAAAAAAAAGGGAGAAATGAGGAGAAAGTAGACCTGAGACGAAGGGGGAACTAAGAGGGGGGAGGGGCACTACAAAATAAGGTCATGGAATGAGAAGAGAAAGTAGGGGGTTTGAGGGGCTTCAGGGGCTGGTGGAGTTTGTCACAGGAGAGCATCTCTAGGGCACAAAGACATTGGGAATTGGATGAAGGGACTTTAGAGAAGTAGTGGTCTGAGTTTTGAGCCTATCATTTAATGTCCTTTGCAAGATGCATTGGAATGCCTTTTCAATCAGTTTGGTGGCAAACTGTGCTTTTCATACACAAGCTGTTAATATCAGAAAAGGGGCCACACAGGAACTAAGAATTTATAAGCCTCTTCCTCCTCTTCCATTGGATAAATACCAAGACATTCTAGATCTTTTTTTAAAATTATTTTTTATGTTTGTTTTTATATTAGAGAGAGAGAGAGAGAGAGAAAACACACAGGCAAGGGAGGGAGAGAGAGAGAGAGAGAGAGAGAGAGAGAGAGAGAGAGACCAAGACAGAACCCGAAGCAGGCTCCAAGCTGTCAGCACAGAACCCGACTAGAGGCTCGAACCCAGAGCCATGAGATCATGACCTGAGCCGAAGTCTGATGCTTAACCAACTGAGCCACCCAGCCACCAACTCCTGGGACATTGTAATGCCACTCTGGAGAAGAGGCCTTGGGCTCTTCAGTGCTTCTCATCCTGAGAGGATGAAGTTCCTCAAGAGAAAGCCCTGTTGAATGGCTAAGGGGAATTTGCATTGACAGTTCTCTCTGTTGGGTGTTTCGGCCAAGGAGGGAAAGAGGAAGCAGAATCTTCAGTATCAGAGCTAAATGATAAAAGATACCAAAACAGTATTTCCATAGAGAGAGAGATAGTGCCTCATGGAAATTCTTCTCTGGAGTAAAACAGTGAAACATAGATCTGTACTTATGCCACATTTTCACAATTAGTTCTTTTAAGGGCTAATATTTAAAATATTTATCCACTGCCTAGGGTATAGATACCAATCATTAAAACCAAATAGACTTTCGGGTGCCTGGGTGGCTCAGTGAGTTGAGTGTCTGATTCTTGATTTTGGCTCGTCATGATCCTTGAGACCTGAGATTGAGCCCCGCGGTGGGCTCTGTGCTGAGTTTGGAGCCTGCTTAAGATTCTCTCTCCCTCTCTCCCTTTGCCCCCTTCTTTTTCCCCTACTCACACACACACACTCTCTCTCTAAAAATACAAAACAAAAAAAACCACACACACACACACACACACACGACAAAGAAAACCCTAAACAGACATTAACTTTCTTTTGCTGGAAAGAGGAGGTGGTAGGATTGATGGGGGCGTTGTGAAGGGGCTGGGCTTGAAGCAGTGACCGTTCGCCAACCAGCTGGAAATATTTCAACATTTTAAGAAAAAGTATGACCATGTTGGTACTGATTATCAGCCTTGGTCCTTCCTCTACTCTCTTCCCCTTGGTAGCTGTAGCCTTTTTTGTCCTTTCCTTGCCTTCGCTAACGTGGGGTGATCCCCCCTCACTCTGTAAGGTACTCCTTGTGCTTCATGTCCTGAGTGAATCTGTGTGTGAGTGACCAGGATCGTAAAGGTAGACTTACTCATGGGATGAGAAGGAAGCTACATGGCATCCCCGTGATACCTCCATCGCCATGGGAGCCAAGGTGGGTTATTGGCAGGAAGACAGAGAGTGCCCATGGTGGAAGAACAGTGTTCATGTAGAGAAGCAATTCTACGACAGATGCATGAGTTCAGGTGATCAGTAGGAACACCCTTGTAACCACCATGAACCTGGATCGTCAGCACTCGGTCTTCATCAATTCCAGCCCGGCAGCACTGACAAAGGAAGCCCATTGCTTACATTTCTCAACATGGTACATGCCAGGCAGGCAGCCCAAGTGTCAGCCCAAACCTCTCTCTGATTTCACACCCGGCCTGGCACGGTTGGTAATGATCCAGACGTGGGCTCTGAGCACAAGGTCTGGGACAGTGTATTGCGTCTTCCACTGACTGCCTGAGTGCTTCTTGCTTACCTCACCACTCTAAACCATCAATCTAAAATGGGGACATTAACTGTTGTTAATTCACAGGGCTGTTGTGGAAATTAAAGGAGTTAGTGTTTGCGAAGAAGCCAGAATGGTGCCTGGTGCATAGTAAGTGCTCAGTTTTTAAAAGTACTGTTATTGTCATTTTCCTTCCTTTCCTCTATGCAGCTGCTGAGACTAGCTTGACTCCCTAACACCAATCCTATTTCTCGTTTATACTCATATCCAAATTTTTAAAATAGCTTAGTTTGTGCTAAGACACTGCTTCTCAACTCTTTTTTTTTTTTTAATTCATGAACTTTTGATAAACATAAAAATATTATGCCCAACTCTCCAAGGAGATTTTTAGTGGGACTTGCCTCTACTACCCTAACTCCCTATTATTCCTCTTGATGATAATCAGTGAACTATAGCATAGTTTTTTAACGACACAATTGTTACTTATCCAATTTGACTATGTCCAGTAAATTCCCAAGCAGTTAAACAATCTGTCCAATGTAGGCTGTTACTCCCCCGGAGGCAAAGCATTAGGAGACGCCTCAGCAAATGTGTGGGGATTCACAGAGCTGGACTTAGAAGAAGGAATGCGTGGTGAAGGCTATGATGGTGAATTTGGACTCCAAATTCAGAGGACTGAACAGAGTTGAAAGTTAAGAAGGAGGTCAAGTTTAACAAACCAAAGAGAGACAATGGAGTACTGAGCCAAAACGATGGGAAGCCTGGGACTTCAGATACAGATTTACTCTAGTAATAAAGGTTGGAATCTAGAATCAAAAGAGGAAGAGAAGGAAAAACAAACAAGCAAACCAACAAACAGAAGATCAGAGATAAGCAGGGAGTCACTACCTGGACTACTAGGTACTGTGTCCAGTGACTGGCTTCCATACAACAGCCAGGGAGTGATCTATAGTGGGTAAAGCATCCAAGACCACCTAAGGGTTTAATGGTTTGAGGAGAATTAACTCCTTGATTTGCTCAAGTCCCACTGCAGATTGCATACTCATATGGCACTTGTAAAGTTAAAAACAAAAATGACCCTTTGACAAATACAGGGTGGTAATAGCTTTAGGCCAAAGTCATCAGTAAGGGCTAAAACCGGGGGGGGGGGGGGGGGGGGGGGGGGGGGGAGGTGAATGTGATGAGAAAGAGGATATTTGCATGGGTCAGTTTATCTCCCCAGAAGATACTTAATAATTGCAGAGGGAAAATAGTGACTTTATATGGAGACATTTGGGAGACTACCTTAGCCAAAAGATCAAAGTTAAAATCACCGGTATGGGGAAATATAGATTATCATATGTCTTCTGATGCCGTGCATTTAGAAAGCACAAAAGTGACGTTGGAGGAGACTGAGGGAACATGACAACCAAATGCATTGTGCAGTCTGGGCTGGATCCTGAACGAAGAGGAACCTCAGTGGGAATCTGACATTTGAATATGTTGTATAGAGATATTAATAGTATTCTGCCAATTTGAGTTCTTGATTTGAATCATTATACTATGGTTATGCGTGACATCGACATTTTAGGAAGCTGGGAGAAAAGAATATGCGAACTCTTTGTAATATTTTTACCAACTTTTTTGAAATCTAAAATTACTTAAACATTAAAAGCTAAAAAATAATTTTTTAAAAGATCAAAACCTATAATAGCATTCGGAAAAACAGTAGGCAACTGCTAAGCCCACAATAGTTACTTAATGAAGGTGGTAGTGATAGAAATTTCCATAGTGCCATAGAGCAAGGCTGAGAAGTCCAATAAGAAGCACACAGAAACTGCTCCAAAATCCAAGAACTTGACTGACCTGGGGAGAAACAGGAAGAAGCATTGGCCCTTGTGGAAGGGACTGTCAGTTGCTCCGCTCACAGTTACACGAGAAAGCGGACGTGACGGCTCTAGCTTTGGTAGCCACAGTATGGAAACCACACATTGGAAGGGGAGCTTCAGAAGCAAAGGAGGTAGGACGTAGATGACATCGCAGAGCTGCCACACCAGCCCTAGACCTCCCCTAAGCAGACTACTGCCACAGGAGAGGAAAATACACTTCTATTGTGCTTTACCTATTGTTACTTGCAATCTATTTCCATTAGCTGAAGCTAGTCCTACCTGGGTTTCCAACTTGCTCTAGCTCTAAGATACAGGACATGACTCAGTCGCAAGCTATGTCCCTCCACTCAATGACTTCTGAGTGGCCAGATACATACCCCGTCCTCTGACCTCACCTGCACTATTCCTTTTATATTGTTTCCACAAATCCCAAAGATTAGGCCAGGCTTATGGGGATAAGTGGTGTCACACTGCTCTTCCAGAGGTGCAATTATCACAGGCAAAGTCCTGGGGCAAAGACGGGAAGAGCCACCGCATGGCTTTCAAGGTCCTTCAAAGGACTCCTCTATATTCTCACACCTCCCCCTTCACTGGTCCTACCCTTGTTCATTTGTGCCCCAGACCCAGTGTTCACCTGTGCTTCCCTGTGTTCTGTGATGCCTCAGAATCTTTCCACATACAATTTCCTCTTCCAAGAACATCCTCTGTTCTACTTTTCACCTGTACAACCTCTTTTATTCTTTAGATTTGTGCTTAAATATCACATCGTCCAAAAATCCTTCATGACTGTGGAAGATGGGGGTAGGCCACTCTGGTGTGTCAACAGCTGAACTTCATCTTACCCCTATCACATTGCATTATAATTACTTGTTCACTTGTCTCTATAGACATAATGATACTGATTTTCACCCTTCGTCCTTTCTCCTGTCTTTTCCCTTCCACTAGGTAGCTACAGCCTTTTGTGTTCTTTCTTTGCCCTCTCTCAAAAGGTGTGATTCCATCAAAGCACGTCTCCAGAACCAAACAGAATATCTGGCATATAGTATGGCTTCAATAAATAATGGATGGATGAATGGGAGACTTTTTTAAAGGTTTATGTTGGTCATGACTTATGCCAGTGTGTAATATTGGATGGCACAGAACATCTCTAACCTTCTCAAAGTCCAGATACGGTTAGCTTTTATGAGACCATCCAGACCCCCCACAGAGCCCAGCTGCAGCACTGTTTCATAGCAACTCATTCCCCAAACAAGTCCCCTGGAAGAATTCCCACAGGAGGGGTTGGGGTGGAGATGGGCAGGACTTTCCTGTGGGCTACATTGATTTCATTAATCTCGTTCTCACTACTCAGCCAGTAGAACAAGTAAGTCAAGTTATATGTACTGCTGCCTCCAATTCGGGCTGGAAAGAAAAAAAAGAAGCCAGTGTTCCACATCATAAAGAGAAGCAAAGGAAAAATAATGAGGCTTTAAAAGAGGTTGATGATTTTAACACCTCTAGATCTACACTCATTTGCTCAATACAGCAAACCTTAGTTAGCAAAGTAAGACAAAAAAAATGTCCCGTTACAGAAGCACACAGAACATTTGCATTTGAATGAGTGAAATTCCAAAACCTCAATACTGTAAAGCAGCAGCTGTGGGGCGGTGGAAAAAGAGTTTTGGACTAGGATCTGGGCTCCAGGCCTGGCTCTGCCACTCCATAGCTGCGTGACTGTCCAACTCAGCCGGTCTCAGCTTGGGTTTTTTTCTCCAGTAAATGGAACACTGCGCTAAATGATCCCAACAACCCCAAACCAAGTGAAAACCTCTCTTGTCGTTGTGTGTAGCAGACACAAGTGACAGTTTCCAATCATCCTCACCCTCTGGTCACCTAGCCCACAGCTGGGTAAGTCTGTTGGTCCAAGAATGGCATCTGGAGAGAAGGTTTATTCATCTATAGTTCCCCCAATGCCTCTGTTAAATAATTGATAGCGGCTGGAAAATGCTTTCAAATTTGGACGTTGCTAGGCAGAGGTGAGAAGTGAGTCTAGCCTGATTTTATTTAAAGACCATAAAAATCTATAAACCTTTTCTTGCTCTGTGCAGCAAAATCTTTTTTCAGAAGCTAAGGAGTCAAACAACATTTTGTGTGCGATCCTGCTCTAAGGTAAGGGTTATACCTGCCTATAGTCTCTGTCCATTCTAGATATCCTGGGGCCTTCAAGAATGGCTGCCAGAGGGGCGCCTGGGTGGCTCAGTCAGTTGAAACTTGGTCAGTTGAACCTCCGACTCTTGATTTGGGCTCAGGTCATGATCTCATGGTTGGTGGGTTTGAGCCCTGGTTTGGGTGCTGTACTGAAAGCATGGAGCCTGCTTGGGATTCTCTCTCTCCCTGTCTCTCTGCCCCTCCTCCACTTATGCGTGCATATATCCTCTCTCAACATGAATAAATAAACTTTTTAAAAAAAGAATGGCTGTCGGCACTAATCTTTGGCAGCTACTGTGTATTTCTTTATGAAGCCAGTGTTTTTTATAATGTTTACTTATTTTTGAGAGAGAGAGAGAGAAAGAGAGGAGAGAGAAAGAGAGAGATCATGAACAGGGGAGGCCACACAGAGAGAGGGAGACAGAGAATCCCAAGCAGGCTCTACATGGTCAGCACATAGCCTAATGTGGGGAGAATCTGACCTGAGCAGAAATCAAGAGCCGGATGCTTAACTGACTGAGCTGGTGCCCCAATAATATTTCTATTGTTATCTCCTTGAACTGTTAAAGTATCTAAGTCCTACACTCCTAAGTATTAACAGTATTTGATTTGGTAAGAATGTGCCGTTGGGTAAATTTCAAAATGGAAACTTCACATAAAACATTATTTAACTGTCAAAAAGCCCCTTTGAATGAGAAATGAGATATCTCCATTTTACAGGTAAGGAAACTGAAGCTAAAATCATATAAGTATCTTGCCCACAGTTAAACCAAGGGTGGAGTTGAAATCTGAACCCAGGGCACTTCAACTTTGCTTTTCTACTCATTCCCCTGTCCTTCTGAAGGTCAGGTGCATATCTTTCACTTCTGTAGTTTTTATTTCCAAAGACTCACACATTCTTTATATATAAGAAATATTTACTAGCATAATTTGAGTGCATCCCATATACTCCCTATAATTTCAGTATAATCAATTTAGAGCCTTATTAATAGTGAAGAGGTCACATTTTGTACAAGACGCTCAGGGTGGCCTTGAGGTAAATCCTAAAGAGGCCTGATGGTTCAGGGCTGCTTCTTCCCAGGCTGCTGTGAACGTGGGGTGACTGATAAGCTTCAGAGAGGCCACCCATGAAGTTATAGTTATTCTGCTCCGAATGAAGATGCAGAGAAATGAAAAGATAGGGAAGACTTTAGGGAAAGACGTGGTACTAGACTCAATGGATGAATATGGAAAGCAGTGGAAATGGACTCCTCTGCTCACAGACTGGAAGGTGGATGATGTTCATCCTAACACTGGGATCAAGAAAACACAAAGTGCGGGGCGCCTGGGTGGCGCAGTCGGTTAAGCGTCCGACTTCAGCCAGGTCACGATCTCGCACTCCGTGAGTTCGAGCCCCGCATCAGGCTCTGGGCTGATGGCTCGGAGCCTGGAGCCTGTTTCCGATTCTGTGTCTCCCTCTCTCTCTGCCCCTCCCCCGTTCATGCTCTGTCTCTCTCTGTCCCAAAAATAAATAAACGTTGAAAAAAATTTTTTTTTAAAAAAATAAAAAATAAAAAAAATAAAAAAAAGAAAACACAAAGTGCTTGGTGGTAGGGACAGAATGGATTGTGAGGAATGTGTAGTGCAGTTAAATGGACACGTCCAACTTTACATGTGGCCGCAACATTTATTCAAAGTTTGGTTTGAAGCCTACAGTTAAGTGAAAGCTGAAGCTATGTGACTAGACAAGGTGGAAACAAACCGTGAAGCATGAGAAGGTGGAGGGATTGACAGGAGTTGCACTGATGGTTAGGAGGTGATCAAAGGGAGGAAAAAAGTCACTAAATGGCCCAAGAAGAAACAGGGAGAAAGTAGAACGAAAATGGGGGAAAATGTTGAAGGACATTTTTAGGAAAAAGTTACCAAAGGTATACAATTTCAGAGAGCTTAAGATTGTCTTAAACTAATCAGGAAAGAAATTGCCTTAAAATTATTGCAACAGATGACTTGACTTGTAGAAATTCAGAGTGAACTAATTTGTGTAATTTGTCCATTATGTGTCATTCTTCAGTCCCTAAGAGCCTTGAAAAACAGATATTACACTGGTAGAGAAAAATGATTCCAGGATGGGTCATGGAAGAGAGCGCTAAAAAAATTTGTTTTGCCTACTTTATAGTTTTGATTGAGATTACAGAAATAAATCTTATTAATTTTACAAGTCAATAATATCCACCCCAAGGATTTATATTTATGAGATAAGTAAAACTCGAATGCTGACTTAAATCCCAGGGTGGGGGGGGGTGGTTCTTATAATGAGAAATCCCCAAGAGATGAATTTGATTGAGTGCCTGCTGAGAATTTTACATTGTAGTATTAGTCAGACTTCTCAGGATTTAGCTCATCATATACTTTTCCTTTATTAAATTTTTTTTCTTACTTTGGTAAGCATTCCAAAAATCGATTGGGATGCAGTTAGCATTACTAATGTTGACCTTATTATAGTGGAAATGACCTCATTATCACTCTTGATGCCAAACAGAATCCAGGACAGATTGTGATCTTGGTCTGAGATGAACAAAACAATATGACAATGAAAAAATGAAAGACACTTGGAACCAGTCTCCCACAGAATCCTAATCTGATACTCTTAAAAAAAAAATCATGAAATTTTGGTTCCGATGCCAGGGTACACCACCGATTTAAGAGACAGCACGTGTCACGTTGATAGAACTCCTTAAATGAAGTTGTCACGGGTATGTATGTAAAACAATGGAAAAACCCCTATCTGCACTCATTTGACCAGTGGCTTCTACTGTCCCTTATGCTGCAATAAATTTAGACACCTGTCTACCCAGCAGTACCCCGTCCACCACCAAGACACAATTTCAAGTATGGCCTTTCCTGCTATATTTCAGTTCCCTTTCATCATTTACTCCATTGCTACTCATGCCATTTTTCTTTCATTTGCTCCACAAATATGGTGACCACCTTTCTATGTTTCTGGTACTATTTTAGTGGCAAACAAGACAGACAACCACCTCTATGATGGTTGTATTTTAATGAGGAGATGGAGCCAACGGCCCTGGATGCTCATGTCCTCCCCACTTTTGGCAGCACAGCAGAGAGCTTGGAAAGGAGATCTGAGTTAGTTGAACAGGCTAATTACTAGTGTATCAGGCTAATGACAAGTCGCCATGTTCTGGAGTATCCCTTCCAAGGCCACCTCCCCGACCAGGGATCTTGTGTCCTCTCATGGATGCTTTCCGACCTTGCCCCTCTTCTCAAAAGGCACACCACAAATACACAGAACATCCCCAGGGAATGTCCTCCTTTATTGGAACCTTGGCCATGGGACATGCAGACCACCTGCACCTGGTATAAGACCTAACAAGTAACAAGAGTTAGAGACAATGTATATGTTCTATTACTTCTCTGAATGTTTTTCTCCAATAAACTCTATATCTGAATTGGATGGTGTTGCAATAGATAAACAGATAAAATCCATTTCTTTTTAAGACCAATTTTTTTAAGTTTGTTTGTTTATTTATTTATTTATTTATTTATTTATTTATTTATTTAGAGCATAAGTGGGGAAGGGGCAGGGAGAGAGGCAGAGAGAGAGAGGATCCCAAGCAGGCTCTGCACTGTCAGCGTTAAGCCAGATGTGGGGCTCACACTCAAGAACTGTGAGATCATGACCTGAGTCGAAGTTGGAGGCTTAACAGACTGAGTCACCCAGGTGCCCATTTTTAAGATGAGTTTTGACAGTGATAAGTGCTATGAAGGAAACAAAACCGTGCAATGGGACAGGGGGGTCTGATCCTAGGTAAGGCCTACTATAGTTAGGACGGCCAGGAAGGCCTTTTTAAGGAGACAGTAATAGAAGCAAAGCAGTAATAATAAAAGGCAGGTAGCCAAGCAAAGAAAGAACATTCAAGCACAGGAAACAACAATCACAGCAGATTGGATGAGCATAAGTTTGAAACGTTTGTGAGACAGAAAGCCAGGACCACAGTGACTGAGGGCGCCTGGGTGGCGCAGTCGGTTAAGCATCCGACTTCAGCCAGGTCACGATCTCGCGGTCCGTGAGTTCGAGCCCCGCGTCAGGCTCTGGGCTGATGGCTCGGAGCCTGGAGCCTGCTTCCAATTCTGTGTCTCCCTCTCTTTCTGCCCCTCCCCTGTTCATGCTCTGCCTCTCTCTGTCCCCCCCAAAAAAAACAAAAACAAAAACAAAAAAAACGTTGAAAAAAAATAAAAGTGATATCAGAAAGGGGTGCCTGGGTGGTTCAGTCGGTTAAGTGTCCGACTTTGGCTCCGGTCATGATCTCATAGTTCACAAGTTTGAGCCCCGTGTCGGGCTCTGTGCTGACAGCTCGGAGCCTGGAGCCTGCTTTGGATTCTGTGTGTCTCTCTCTCTGCCCCTTCCCCATTCGTACTCTGTCTCTCTCTCAAAAATAAGTAAACATTAAAAAAAATTTTAAAGTGACATCAGACAAGTAATCAGAGGACCTGTAAGGAGATTAGATTTTTTTTCTCTAACTACAATAAGAAGCCATAGGAGAATTTAAAGAGAAAGATTATAAGTTGATAAACGTATTTAAAGGTTTAACTCCTGGGTTTGGAGGAGAATGGCATAGAGGGCACATGAATGGAAGCCAGGAAACCAGGTAGAAGGCTAGCACATGATCCAGGTGACAGGTAAGGGCAGATGAGCACATTCCGGTTAGTCTGCAGGACCCGCACATGAGCACTGACTGGATGGTGGACGTAGGAAAGAAGAACCATAGAGGACTGACGCCATGACAGTGAGAGACGGTAGGCCTTTCCATAACTGGTGCACATGGTCACTCAAAATCATGTACATGTAACCACTGAGAAAAAAAAAATAGGAGGCGGTGGAAAATGAGGATTAATAAAGACTAGAGATCTAGTGTAAATAGCAAGTCAGAAAGGCCAATGTTTGAGATTGGGCCAGTGGTGCTGAAATATGCTCGGGAAGTTGACCGCTCAGTTTGTCAGGGGGCAGCGGCCACCTGGGGCTTCTCTTGGGGAGCCTAGCAAGCCAGTGCTCACTGCAAAAATGTGACAGCTTATTCTTCAAACCTGGATTTCAAAAGGGGGACAGATGCCAAAGGCTTGTGAGAAGTGAGCTCACAGTCTTTTATGAAAGTTCAGGACCAGAGTCTCAAGCTGATTTGGAGGTCTGCCAGTAGAGTTTACCTCAGAAATTGAGAATCGGTCACAAGAACTCACGTAAACCAGAAAAAGAGGTGGGAAGAAAATTAATCACTTCTTCAACTCCTACGTGCTAGGAACCTCACACAGGTTTCCTCTGTTCGTCCTCAAAAATAACCTTGCGAGAAAGGCAGAGTTTCCTTCATTACCTGGAGGAACTGAAGCTGCGAGAGGTTTATGTATAAGCTCAAGGCATTACAGACAGTGTCAGGATTCGGATCACGGTGGCCCAGGCCACTCGTCTCCCCACGGCACAGAGAGCCACCGTCAAGTAGTAGGGAAACACGGGGATGCACTAGTGTTCAGCCTTAGCCACCTGAAGTTGCCTCATGTGAGCATGGTTGAGGGGTGAGCTAGCAGGTTGACCTTCTCTGGGTCTCTTTTTCTTGCCACCTCCTTTTCATGTTCCAGTTACTCTGGTACTTCTGTCTTGTGCTTCCTCTAGCCAGTAAAATGAGATCTACTATCTGAGCGTCCACCAAAAACACGGCACGAACTGGTGTCTGTCGTTGGTATAAAAGTCAAAAAAGTTGAAATTTGCTAGGTGCCTTCTTTTCTCCTGAGTGTCTTTTCCCCTCCAGAACCTGCCTGATTTCTTTTCCTTCGTGTGGCTTCCTGCAGTTCTGAGTCCAGAGATTATAGTTCTCCTCAGGAGGGTTCATTAATAGGAACTACTTTACTACCGAGAAATAATGTTTTAAACAAAAGAATTCTGAATCAAATAGATGGTTTCTAGAAATGTGTTCACTTTCTTTACACTCTTTACTTTTGATAGAATGAATGTTTACTGGTGCTTATTAATTATCTGGTTATAGTCTCCTTTTGTAGATCTACTTGTTTGCTACACTAAAAACAATTCTCCCAGACCAACTACCAAAGACTTCCCTCAGCTTTCCCCCCCCCACCACGTCATTCATGAATGATCTTAATTATGCTTCTGGATTGCCCTCTAATGGCTGAATGTCTGAACTACAAATGGGAAGTACTGTTAGGAAATGTACTCTTTGTAGAGGTCAGTTCACTAGGTGAGTAACAAACTGTAGTGGACATATGTCTCCCCAGTAACAAAATACCTTACTCGCTGTGAACTATGTACCACCTTGACTATTATTAACTGCAGTAGAAAAACAACAACAGAAAAAGATCCTTAAAAAGCTCTTCAGATGTTTAAAAAAGATCTGTGGCATGGCTATTGAATGAAGACAATAATTAAGTATATAATTAATTAATAATAAGTATATTAGATAAGTACTGGATAAGAAAGTACTGAGGACAATAACTTGTTCTGAGGACTAAAGACCTGTCAGGTGAACCGGGCTTGACTTGGAGACTGCACACATAGACTTTCTTGAAGTAACACCGCCACCTTGTGTCTTTCTGAGATACTTGTGATAAAAATATGCAAACCTTTGTTTAAAAAATGTCCTCTAATAAAAGAAACTTGAAAATCTGCTTCAAGGTGCAAATAGGAGAACAGGAATTTTTTTCATTTTATCTCAATTCCAGTGTAGCTAACATACAATTTTATATTCCTTTCAGGTGTACAGTATAGTGATTTAAGAATTCCATGTATTAGTCATTGCTTATCAAGATAAGTGTACTCTTCACAAAAATAAATTCAAAGTGGCTGAAAGACCTAAATGTGAGACAGGAAACCATCAAAATCCTTACAGGAGAACACAGGTAGCAACCTCTTTGACCTTGGTCGCAGCAACTTCTTACTTGACACGTCTCTGGAGGCAAGGGAAACAAAAGCAAACTTGAACTGTTAGGACCTCGTCAAGATAAAAACCTGCACAGCCAAGGAAACAATCAACAAAACTAAAAGGAAACTGATGGAATGGGAGAAGATATTTGCAAATGACATATCTGATAAAGGGTTGGTATCCAAAACCTATAAAGAACTTATCAAACTCAACACCCAAAAAACAAACAATCAAGTGAAAAAATGGGCAGAAGACATGGATAGACACTTTTCCAAAGAAAACATGCAGATGGCTAACAGGTGTATGACAGATGCTCAACATCACTGAGCATCAGGGAAATACAAATCAAAACCATAATGAGATATCACCTCACACCTGTCAGAATGGCTAAAATTAACAACTCAGGAAATAACAGATGGTGGTGAGGATGCAGAGAAAGGGGAACCCTTTTGCACTGTTGGTGGGAATGCAAATTTGTGCAGCCACTCTGGAGAACAGTAGGGAGGTTCCTCAAAAAAATAAAAATAGAGCTACCGTATGACCCAGCAATTGCACTACTAGCTATTTATCCAAAGGATATAAAAATGCTGATTCGAAGGGGCACATGCACCCCAATGTTTACAGTAGCACTGTCAATAATAGCCAAATTATGGAAAGAGCGCAAATGTCCATTGACTGATGAATGGATACAGAAGATGTGGTGTGTACATATAAACACACACACACACACACACACACACACACACACACAGGAATATTACTTGGCGATCAAAAATAATTAAATCTTGCCATTTGCAGAAATGTGGATGGAACTAGAACATATTATGCTAAGAGAAATAAGTCAGAGAAAGACATACGATTTCACTCATGTGGAATTTGAGAAACTCAACAGATGAACATAGGGGAAGGGAAGGAAAAATTAGATAAAAACAGAGAGGGAAGCAAACCATAACAGACTCAAGTACAGAGAACAAACTGAGGGTTGCTGGAGGCAGGGTGCCTGTGGGGATGGACTAAACGGGCAACGGGCATTAAAAAGGACACTTTTTGGGATGAATCACCGGGTTCTACTACTGAAGCCAAGACTACATTGTATGTTAACTAACTTGAATCAAAAACAAACAAAAAAGGTAAGTATACTCTTAATCCCCATCACCTATTTCACCCGTCCTCCCAGCAACCTCCCTCTGGCAACCATCTGTTCTATATAGGTAAGAGTGGTTTTTTGTTTGTTTGTTTGGTTTGTCTCTTTTTTTCCCCTTTGATTGTTTTGTTTCTTAAATTATAACATGAATGAAGTCATATAGTATTTGTCTCTCTGATTGGCTTATTTGCTTTGCATTATAACCTCTAGATCCACCCATGTTGTTGAAAATGGTGAGATTTCATTCTTTTTGTGGATGAATAATATTCTTGTGTGTGTGTGTGT